GATGTCATCTTCTTCTTTTCTTCAATTCTTCATCAATGATTAAAAAAAGAACAGTGTATCGATTATCGATAATAAAATAATAAATTAAAATTAAATAGAAAAAAAAAAGAGAAATATCTATTTGGTGAACTAAATCGGACGATACTCTCAGGTATTATAAATATATTTTATTATAAATAAAATAAAAGATATATAAATAAAAACAAATAATATATAGACGTGATTAAACTTCCAATTTTTGTTTATGTATTATCAAAAGCTAAGTGTCGATAAAGACAGGACAAACAATGTTAAATACATCGAAATACTGATTCTCACAAATGATTACGACTTATTGTCAATAATTGTACACGATAAACGGAATTTACAATCTATTATTATTTAAATAAACAATTAGAAAATATTATTCGACAATTTTCGATGTGATCCTGGCAATAAATGATTATCGTAGGATGGCAGTGACGTATTCGATTTATTAAGTTATTCAGACTGACAGTTTCACTATCTACATCTACATCGTCTTCTTCTTCTTCTTCTTCTTCTTCTTCTTCTTCTTCTTCCTCTTCTTCTTCTTCATCATTTTCAGGATCTTCCGCGAAGCATCTCGCGCGTGTGCAGAATAATAAAAATTTTCTTTATTCATAGTGAAAACATCGGTCATGAGATACATTAAATAACATATCTATAATGTTTGGTTTAATTCGATATATATATATATATATATTTGTATGTATATATATGTATATACGTTATTATATATATATCGATGGCAATTTAAAACCACGATTCTGAATTTGTTCATTTCTACTTTAAACAATTTACACAATCATTATCCTGCATTCGAATCGTTATTCTTAATCCCTTCACTCTCGTAGTTTCATTTCTTCCATTCTTCTAAACGATTTACTATTATTACTCAAGTAGCAGCCTCGAGTCATCATCATTATCATCATAGTCATCATCATTATCATTATTTATTTCGCATAAACGATCGTCATATCTTTTTTTTTTTCGATCGCATTTGCAAAATCTATCTACATTATTTACATAATCGATTCGCGCGTCAAAGGCGCATGAAGGATATCATCATCGTCATCATCATTATTATTATTATTATTATTATTATTATTATTAATATTATTATTATTTAATATTATTATTAATATAACACATATTCCATTTCTTTTAGTTATTTTATTTTATTTTTTTTTTGGTTTCTTTTCTTTTCTTTTTTTTTTTTTTTGCTTATCATATTTTTTCACACGCGTTTAGCGTTTCACGAATTCGACGGCTAACAATTCAAACTGTCAGGTACAACGTAAGAGAAGAAGAAGTCGGAGAGGCTGAAGCAATGCGCAAAAGCTTTTATTTATTTTTTTTATTTTTTTTTTTACTTTTATTTATTTCTTTTTATATAATTTTTTTTTCTTTTCTTTTCTTTTTTTTTGCTTAATATTTTTTTTTGTTTGAGGAAAAAAGCTGGAAGCCTGGCACGATTTTCTTGAAAAAAAAAGAAAAGAAAAAAAAAAGAAACTGAGAGGAGAATTGAAATATGCTAAAACCTCTTTCGCGTTTCAACGTTTACTTACGATGAACTATATAAGTATAGGTGTATATATGTATGTATATATGTATGTATGCATGTATGGATGTATGTATGTATGTATATGAACTTGCCGATATATTTATACAAGGCAAAGGAGTAACAAGAATTCGATTCGATCGTCGTATTCGGTTAGTACGTTACTCGTATATCTATCAACAATATTCTCAAGACACCAAATGAAACGAACGTACATAAATACGTTTTCTCATCCCCCTACCTTCTGTCACCCCTCCCATTTAAAGGAAAAATCTAAACCCCCTTGTCGAAAACGCGAAAGAGAAATTTCGTTACTTTCAATTCTCCCCGAAGTTTCCTTTTTCTTTTCTTCTTCCTCTTTTTCATTTGTCTTCAAATAGAAATAATTTTGACTTGCTTGAAAACAATTTTTTGTTATTCTTTGTCTCTCTCTCTCTCTCTCTCTCTCTTTTATTTTTCAGGAGAAAAATGTTGATTGATGTTGAAATGTTTTTTTTTTTAATTTTTTTTTTTTTATTCTTTTGAAGGTACAGTTGCTAATTGCCAATCGTGGGTTATTTTTTTTGTTGTTCTTTTTTTTTGAGAAATGAGTAAATTTTCGTTTGTTTCTTCTTTACCTTTTTTTTTATGTTTTGCGTGTGTGTGTGTTTTTTTTTCTATTTGATATAATCGCGCTTTTATTATTTGTGTTTGTTTTGTACGAAACGAAGCCACGAAGCTCTCAACTAACTCGCCAACGTCGTTGTTATGTCGATGATTCGAGGCTACATAATAATTTACACTGCCTCTTCGTCTCTATCTCTCTCTCTCTCTCTCTCTCTCTCTCTCTCTTTCTCTCTCATTCTCTCTCATTCAAATATTTCTCTTTTCTCTCTCGGACGTCGAACACTAAACCGCCTAGAACTTTTATCTAAACATAGTCATCATACTCTCTCATTTTCTAGTGTATTTCGAATGTATCCTTCATCAAATTATTTTTTTGTTCTTCCTCTTACACCGTCATACCAAAAATCGAAACTAAGCAATGGCAAAACTATTTTTTTTTTTTATTTACGAAACTCGTTTAACATTCCATTTCCTTTCTTTCTATTGTGCTTTCATTCTCACTCACATTCTATGAACCTTCATCTAACTATATAATTCGCGCATATGTATTTACATATATATCTATATACGTATATGCCTATATTTCTCGTTTATTTATTTATTTATTTATTTATTTTTATACGTATATATATATTTATTAGATATACAATTTGACTCTCTTCGACATTTTTTTATTTTCCTATTCCAACAAAATTCAAAATGTATCGACGCAGACCTTTTCTCACCATATGTTTTTTTTTTAAAACGATAATGTTGCAAAATTAACACTCGGCATGCGGGCAACGTCTGTCACTTGAGCACAGGTCACGTAAAAATACGTATTTAGCCAGTTAAGTTCGTTCGATGTGTATACACGTCGGACCAAATCTCTACTGTAGTGTGTTTGACGTGTATACTCGTCGTGTAAAATAAAAAGTTACCATTCACTATAAATACTCGAAATCTCAATAAAATGTAATAAGAATATTATTTGGTGGTATGTTCCCTTTATATTACCAATACGACCGCTATGTATTTTATTTATATTTATTTAATTTATTTTTATTTATAAAATGTGCCGTTTGCTCAAAAATGGAAAACACAAGGAAACAAGGTCTTTGTGTACGACCTGTAAAGTCGCACTTTGTGTAATACCGTGCTTTGAAACTATTTTGTAAACTATTTTCTTATTTTTCTTGTTTATTCTTGCTATCTTCAATTTTTCTTGTTTATGTATTTTATTATTTTTTTTGATAATTTTCAAGCTTTTTTGTAAGAATAACGTATTCAGAAACGAATTGTTAGTTTTTTTTTTTGACGAATAAAAATGTAATCCTTCCTCGTTTTTCGTAAAATGTATAATAGTACCATTTGCCTTGCGTTCGACGTGTCTACACGTCGTTGCTTGTTTTTAATTCCGCACCCTGTGATGATCTTTTAAGACTAAATGCCACAGTCAACTGGTTAGTAGATTTGTAGTGGATAGTAGGTAACGTATAATTTCAACATAGTAAAGTGGACAAAGTGCATAGCTATGTATGTGATGAATTGTGCATTTTTCAATGCATATGAAGTGCATAATTCGACTAAGACGCAAAAAATAAGATAAAATAAATTTTTGATCAAACTTTCGCACGATTCACGAAAAAATACCCGCTGCACGTGTAACTTTCGAAGTATACCTGCATGCCAAGTGTTAAGAATTAAATATAACATGAAAATATCACAATAAACTTTAGATTAATCTTTTTTTTTGTTCACTCTCTCTCTCTCTCTCTCTCTCTCTCTCTCTCTTTCTCTTTCTTCTTTTTTTGTTCTTACTTCTTCTATCTTTTGATATATATATATATATATATAGTTTTTCGTTTTAAAGAACGACGATCGACTTTAACGAAAAAAAAAAAAAATGATAAAACTTATTAAAAAGAATAGATCTAAAACCCTTCCTTCTTTCAGGGTTATAAGGACGATCCAATCTCCTTTCGCGGACAATAAAAGCTACCAGTATCCATTTTTCTCTTCGTTCGACGAAAAAAACGCGTAGGACCACCATAAGGAACGTGCCGCGGTGTACTAAACGATCACTTTCGCGAACAAGTAGTATTTTCTTTTAGAAAACCCCTCGCTGGAAAGTTATCTCGTCGAAAATGTAAGAAGAAGAAGAAGAAGAAGAAGAAGAGAAGAAGAACTGGGAATGGAAAAGGTTGAAAGAAAATGTTAGATTCAAGTCAAACTCGTAAACGTATGCCATTGGTTGTTATATCGTTTTCCACGGTACATCAACTACAACTATAACAAAATATTCATAAAAAATAAATAACGAAAAGAATATTTCACGAATCGTAACTTTCGGAATACATACATTCATGATTTTCAACATTGTTGATCAAGATTTTTCGATTCGATTCGATTCGTAAAACTCGTCGAATTTTTAGTTGAAAATCGATAAACAGTTTGTACTTCGTGATTTACGATTACGTAAAAAATCATGTTAAGTATCCTAAAGATAAAACGAAAGTGTATGTATGTATGTATGTATGTATATACATGTATCGATAGTATAAGAAAAGGGATGAATAAATTAGCTAGATCACTATTTGTCGGTACTTACAAGCAAACATTATTTTCCAGTCTTCCCTTTCGTTCTCTAACACAGAAAAGGGCTCGCACTTGTGTGCCCCTATCTTTTACTGCGACACTCATACAATATATCAATATATATATATATATATATATATATATTAATATATTTATATATATATATTATATATTTATATAATATCTTTATTCTGTTTTATTTTTATTTTTTTTTTGTTATTATTATTATTTAATCTTTTTCACACGATTGCATCTTTCCTTCTTTCAATCCTTCCTTTTTTTCTTTATTTCTTTCTTCGTTCACACACTCACAACTCACGCATACACTCACATACACGCTCATCTTTGTAGTCTATCTTTCACTCTCACTCTTCTTTCTCCGTTAATTTTCTCCTTTTTTTTCCCCTTTGGTTTTGTTTTATTTTGTTTATTTTAAGTCTAGCTTTTTCTTTAGTACGAAAATAATTTCAAGCGTGGCCGACATCGTCGCGTTCGTGATGGTTCGCACGGCCGGAAACGGCACGCCGGACGTACCGTCCAATAAACACTACAACTGGAAGCCCCGTTCCCGTGATGCGAGAATCATCTTCTGATGGCTGTTAAGAGCAATGGCAATACGCTTGGTAGTAGAAGATGAAGTAATAAGGGTGGCTCACTTGCAGCACCCAGATTTAACGCATCCAATGGTAAATCTCCTGGTGGCATCGATGGTGGCTCATATTCGTTCTTGTAATCTGCAAACAAATACAAAAAGACATCCTTCTTTTTTATTTTTTTTTTTTATTCCATGAAAAATAACGAAAGGTGGAAGTCTATCTATACACAGGGTGTTACCAAATTTTGAGAAATAATTTTAAGAATGGTTTTAATATGATAAAATAAGAAGCAACTCTTGATGTGATATTATTTTATTTAAATTAAAATTATTGTTGCTTTGTGTAATAGTAATTTATATAACTTTACTGATTAGTTGCTTTAAATATTATATTTATAGTAGGATGCATCAACCACGCGTTGTGACTTTGTTATAAAATATTAATATAATATAATTCTAAACTATTTAGTAAATTATATGACAACACATAAAATAATACTATGGAATACATAAAATAATAATACAGGAAAAAATATAAAAAGTAAGGTTAGTTAAGTCATATGTAGATCTGAAGAAAATGTGAAAAATTGATATTGTAATACAGCGCCATCTATAGAACGTTGATTTAATATAATTCTTAACTATTTAATTCAGTCAAATTATTATTAATATATTATATAATTTTTAGGAAATCAAATTAGGTATAAAATAACATAAATTTTAAATATATATAATATATAGTAAATAAGTAATACACACACAAAATATTAATACATAATATAATAAATATATAATATACTTAATAAAATAATATATTAAAGGAATACATAAAATAATAATACACGAATAAATATAAAAAGTAAGATTAGTCTTAGGCAGATCTGAAAAAAAAACCTGAAATAATTGAATTGTAATACAGCGTCATCTATTGAAAACTTACAAAACCAAGAGTYTTATCTAACCTCTAAATAATAAATCTTTAAGTTAGAAATAAAAAGTAAAAAATAATCGCAATAAAAACTATGAAAATCTAACAAAACTTCTATGAAAATCATTTATATTTACCCTCCTATAACACGGTATATAGGTTCCTAGAAAATACTGTGTTGTGTAAAACCGTGTTCTATGAAACCCAGAGCCAGTACAAAAAGGGGGGTTACGTTCCCAAACTTATTAAAAAAAAATATATATTTTTTTTAATTCTACATAAACAAATTAATTTTTATTAAAAATGTAAATGTATGTACGATGCAAAAGAACAAATATTTTTTAAATTTAATATAACTTTAATTGTTTCACTGCTCAGTGTAATCAACTAAAAACGTTTTTTCGGTAGAATGATATCGCCTTCACTTTTAGAATAATTTTCTTCATTTGAAGTTCTTGCATCTTCTTAAAATTTGTACTTTTACTTCGCTTTGCTGTTCTTACAAGGTCATTGTAAATTTCTCGGTATGGTGCTAGAGAGTTTTGCAGCTCTCTTTTGAATTTTCGGCTTCTTACTTCGGAAGGGTCTGCATTTACAAAAAATGACTCGAGATTTTTAGCTAGGTTTAGGCCTTTTTGTAATTGTTTTAATGTTAAATGATTAACTGCACAATATTCATCACTGCTAGTGTCCTTAGGATCAATTTGATTTAGAACTTCGGATGCCATTTTCATCAAATCTGCTTCGTCAATTTCTTCTTGCATTAATAAACATTGAATATCCTCAATAGCCATATTCACAAAACCTTCGCCTCCGATTGATTTAGCAAGTTCAAATATGCCACCAATTGCATTTTGTGACGATTCACGCATGTTTTCTATTTCAACTGAAGATGGCCATACCTTCTTCCAACATGCATTTAACTTTAATGTTTTTAGTTCACAGCAGCGTGAGACACTTTTGTTTTCAGGCCATGGAGATGAATAGAAATACTTGTCGCTACACTGTTTCTTAAAGATGGCAGGCCTCGCCGTAGCTGTAGAATTACAGTGTTGTGCAAAGGTTTTATGAAAGGAAACCGCGTTATAGGATTCCGTGGTGTAGGATTCCGTTGTGTAGGAGGGTTCCGGTAATTTATGAATCGTGTTATAGCGAAACCGTGTTGTAGGAGTGCTACCTGTATAATAAAAGTATATATAAATAATATATAATTATAATAAAAATAAGTTTATAAAATAGGAAAATTAGTATAATAAAATAAAGTTTATAATTTAAGAACATGGTCATATCATTCATATGATTATATGAATAATTTTTCTTTTTTATTCTATTCTCACATATTTTTAAACACCCTGTACAATTAAAATTTCGAATATATGAATTTACAAGAAATATATAATTTGTTCGAATGTAGAAATTTTTTTGTATGATAAAATATTAAAAATTTCTCTTCTATTTTCATTATTTTTTCATTTATAAAGAATTCCTTTTTTTTCTATTTTAACAATTAGTTTTATAGGCACTTTCAACGTTACTACACATGAATTTTAAAATCGTTAAGATTTATTTCAATTTCATATCAAAGAAATAAAAAAGGATAATAATATCGTAAAAATGATTTCTAAGTTATTTATTTTTGATAGCAGATGATTTGATAGTGCAGCATTGGAATAGTAGAAAATTCAAATACTAGATAGTCAGATATTGAAAATTCTTCTATATTTGCTGTATTTGATCGTTGATTAAAATATGATTTATTTTATTTGAAATATTATTTACGTTAAATTTGACAGTAATTTGAAAATAAGATTATTTCTTTATTTAACCCTCCACTAGGTGTAAAATATTAATCCATTAGGTGAATAATATTAGTTATAAGTTATAACGAATAAGTATAATATATATTTACTAAATTATAATTTTATCATTGATTGAATTTTAATATCAATTGTACGCATGCGAAAATCGAAAATTCATGTTCATTGATTTATATTATAAATAATAAAAAAGGAAAAACAATTGTTAATATTTAATAAATCTAGAAAACAGTACAAATATATTTATTATATATTTATATTCAAAAGAAAACGAGTAAATGTATAATAAAATAATTGAAAAAATTCGATTAACATGTAGAAAAGAGGGGGTGGCTGGGAGTAGGGGGGGGGAGGAGGTGAGGTATAAAAAGTTTATTTTCAATTGAAAATCGCGACATTCGATTTATTGCGTGCGTTCTGTGACGCGTTAGGAAAGTCAATCGATTTAGTGAAAGGTTCGAAGGAGATGGAAAAAGAACTACTGGTACGATGGTTGAAAAGAAAAGAAAAGAACAGAAAAGAAAAGAAAAGAAAATAATAGAAAAAGGAAAGAAAATAAAAGCAAAGATAGAGAAGGTGAAAGAAAATAACGAGAATTCCGTTCTCCTTTCATCTTATTCTTTCTCTCTACACTTGTTCGATTTAACCCCTAACCCGCAAAAGTTCCTAGCGTGCTCTGCCTGCCCCTCGAGGCGAACGATGGCCTGAGGTCAACGAAGCTCGTTTTTCATTAATTGAAAGTAAACGTCGCGAAGAGAGAAAAGTGACTTTGCCACGCCGGTTGCTCGAGGAAATCTTTCGACGAAATCGCAAGTTTCACTATTTCAATGGTTCCTTCGAGCATTCGTCGTCAGTAGCAGCTGACCTCCTAGTCTTTTGTATCGACTCGTACTAACTTTCCTTTCTTTTTTTGTTTTCTTACTGTTTCCAGTTCGTTTTTTTTTTTTTGTTTTCTTTTATTATATTATTTTTAATTTCATCCTATGACAGAGAATAATGCGTTAAAATTCGACTTATTAAATAATATTTTAAGTTAAATATTATTTTCAAACAAACGAACTTGACCGAGTTATGGATTGTTCTGCAAACTTTTGATTAAAAGAGTTTCTATTTTATTGGAAGGTAAATATAAACTGACACCTATCATTGACACTCATTTAAACTCTTAGGCACTGCTAAATGTTGAGTGGGACTCTTTCAACGAGAATTATGTGTAAACGATACAACTACAAGATGTGACGAACAATGCTGTACTTTAATTTTGACAATTTACTTTAATAATTATTAATAAAATTAGGTTAAATATATTTTCAAAGATGTTTTTCGCGAAAGCTACTACAGTGGCGCTTCGTATTGGAAGATGGCGTCCGTGAAAGCCACTATAATGGCGCGCAGTACCTAAGAGGTTAACAGAGTCGCGAAAAATTTGTTTTAAAAGAAACTAAAATCTGTTTTATCTTTGWTGTTTTACATCTTTSAAAATATTTGACAAACTRATTACAATTTTCGGTCTAATTCGTTTAAAAGAAATTTATAAATAAAAATATGTCAAAGTTAAAAATTCAATGTTAACGAATGCAAAATAATAATACATCCTATTTCTTGTACGTATCCTTGGTAAATTATTTTATTGGAAGTTAAATATAAACTGAAACCTATGATTGACACCCATTCAACTTCTTAGGCACTGCTGAATGTTGTAAAGGGCTCTTTTTCTGTACGGCAGGGTTTAATGAGAATTAAGTGTAAATAATACAACTACAATATGTGACAATTTGACAATTTACTTTAATAATTAACAAGAAATTAGATAAAATATATTTTAGAAGATCTTATTAGTAAAAGCCACTATAGTGGCGCTTTATACTAGCAGATAGCGTCCGTGAAAGCCACTATAATGGCGCGCAGTGCCTAAGAGGTTAACAGAGTCGCGAAAAATTTGTTTAAAATATGGAGGGTAGAGGTAAGGAGTAACATTTCTTATAGGAGAAAATGTGAAAAAGTGTCCAGCGTTTTCTATAAATAACAGTTCAAAAACCTTCCAGAATGGCGCTGGTGAAAATAGAGATGTGGTACGAATGTAGCAATTGTAAACGAATTGAAGTATGCCGAGTTATGTAATAATGTAGTAAATATAACCTTAAAGAATTATTATGAGAAAACGTGTAGCTAAAGTGATTTTATTTCGTGAACTGTGAATAGAAGGTTTATTGATTTTTTATCATTTAATTTTATGAAAAAGTATATGAATAACAAAATAGTTATGGGTAAAATTTGTGTTCCTTGTTTATTTCTCAATCCTACTCTAATAATATTTGGCATTTCCTTTAAAATTGACACTCTACGAACTGTGGCGCCACCCGAATTGAATGCATTTCGACTGACACTTTTCATATACAGAAATGTTACTACTTACCTCTACCCTCCATGGTTTAAAAATAAAATAAAATCTGTTTTATCTTTGATGTTTTACATCTTTGAAAATATTTGACAAACTGATTACAATTTTCGGTCTAATTCGTTTAAAAGAAATTTATAAATAAAAATATGTCAAAGTTAAAAATT